AGTACAATATAAAAACGTTCTAAGTCACCGAATAACAAACGTGGGGTGATGCTAACTGCATCTCGGAACCATCTTAATATTTTTTCCACTTTACATTGCAAGCTCTCAAGGATTTTAAACATCTATTTTATTCTATGTGCAGCAATTGTTTGTTTGTGTTTTTTCTCTAGAAAAGCATCTATGAAAAGGTAACATACCCATCGTTATCAGTAGAACTACGGCTCCTTTTCTGTGGGGTAACAGCTGCCATGTCTTCACCAGAGCGCCTACAAGAACACATTGTTAATAGCCTGAAATAGATTTCCAGTTAAAAACAACAACAACAACAAAACCCCCCAAAAAACAACTAAGGAAAGAAGGAAGAGAAGGTGGGGGACTGGGGAGAAAACACCTAATAGAAGCAGATCAGGCATGACAGAGACTAGAACAACACAGGGCTGTGTTTCAGTTGAGCGTAAGCCGTAAAACAAGGGCACACAGAAAGGATCTTCCAGGTCAAGTCCAATTCTGTCATCATGGACAAATGCATCCTACAGCCCCCTTTGTAAAACAAGTTTTACTTTCAGCCTCTCACATTCCTCCGGCAAAGCTCATTCCAGACCTCACCAACGTGGTTCCTAGAAATCTGCTTGCTCCTGCCTGTATTCATGGTCAGTTTGTTCCCGCGAGGATTTCACATGGGCATTTACCTTCCAGCCGAGACAGCTCTTTACCCAACAGACTTTTAGAGTTTCTCTCCCAGCTCCCTTCTTGCCAAATACCATAAACCACGCTCTTTTAGCCTTCGTTAACACAGAAGCCATTTAAACCGGTTTAACACTCGACCCTGTTTGTTCCATCTCTTCCAGTCTGAGGTAGTTATCGTACAACATTCACTTTTGTGTTGCGCGGCATTTCGCAACTGAAACTCCACAGTAAAAAAAGATCCCGTATCCAAGAGAACTGATAACGAATATTCGTAAACTGCTAGAACGCCACAAAGAATAATTTATTCAATAATCTGCCAGCAGGGGGAAGTTCCTCCTAACCGGCCCGCGTTAGTACGTTGCTGTTTTGGGGATGCGGTGGCTGATGACAGCCCAGACACGACAAGCTGTTGTCAAGCCCAGGAACACCCAAGGACACACGTGGTGGCAGAGGATCGAGCCAGCAGCCGCGTAGCTGCAGCAGGGGTCGTACAACCTCAGCGCAGAGCGGTGCTGGCAGAGGGGAACTTCAAGAGAGGGCAGGCAGTGCCCTAGAAGCACAGGGCGACAATAACAAGCCTGCAGGTACCTGGGAAATAAGGTATCAGGTGCAGATGAAAGGAAGAAGATAAGACAAGGACACGCTGTTGGCAGGAAAGTCAAGGTG